CTGGTTCAGCCACTCCACATGTGACCTACATCCAGTCCTCAATCATAACCTGATCAAGATTTGTTCCACTATCTTAATGAAGAAGTTTTACAAGCATACCACACATGCATACACTCCTACATTCAAGATAACCACTTTCATGACCTCAAGAAAGCACTCCTTGTAGAAACCCACTACAAGAATTCCTTACCACTTGAGAAACCTACTCATGATTTACAAATATTCACAAAGAATTAAGGAACGAATTCACTTGGAATTCAGAAGCAAATCTTAATCTTTCTCTTTTCAAGAATGTGATGATGATGATGATCTTTTCTCAAAGCATTTCAAAAACATTTTTCTTCTTGGTTTCACAAAGAAAACTCTCCAAGAATGTCGCAAAGACTTCACAAACACGTTTTTTTCTATTTTTGATTCTCAATTCTATCTTGTTCTTAATGTTTCAAAATGAGCAAACTATTTATAAGTTTTTCAGAACCAGATAATCGATTATTTTAAAGAATAATCGATTATTTTGTTCTTCATGATTTCTGGAAATCAACCAAGAACAATTTAATAGATTATTTTGTAGGATAATCGATTATTCTATAGATTCTGGGATAATCGATTATTTCAAAAATAATTGATTATTGCAGCAAGGTATCCTTTTTACCTGTTGTTGGAATAATCGATTATATTAATGATAATCGATTATTTTGAGTTAGTTTTCAAAACTGTTTTAAGTCTCAAAATAACTTTTTAATCTTTCAAACTCATCATCATACTCACTCATAATCAGATTAGTCAAGTAAGTAGGAAACTTAAAAGAACTAACGGGAAATAAGAAGTCTCGGCCTTCCATTCAGATAAATTAAACGCGATCCTAAGAAATTCTACCCAATACCCTCATATACTCTACATATAAATAATCCCCTTATCCCCCGTACCTGGATGAATAGAAACTTGAGCAGAACCTCCTCCTCTTTTTCTTAAACCGGGATCAAACTAGAGCAGAACCTCCTCTCTTTTTCTTAAACCGGGATCAAACTAGAGCAGAACCTCCTCTCTTTTTCTTAAACCGGGATCAAACTAGAGCAGAACAACACATCAATATAACAGATATCCACATCAATATAACTAGAGCGGACAATATCTACATGCGGGTTCTTGGGCTGTTACACATCGTCACGC